CTTTTGATGTTTTACACCGCAACTTTTGGTGTTTTACACTGCAACTTTGGGTGTTTTACACTGCAACTTTTGCTGTGTTTTACACTGCAACTTTTGCTGTGTTTTACACTGCAACTTTTGCTGTGTTTTACACTGCAACTTTTGGTGTTTTACACTGCAACTTTTGGTGTTTTACACTGCAACTTTTGCTGTGTTTTATACTGCAACTTTTGCTGTGTGGAAAACTTACACCCCTCCCCTTTTATAATGGACGGTCCCCCTGTCAGGTCAAAGGTGACAAAGATGGCGGCGGCAAGTCACAAGCTGACGTCTAGGGACATTAAAATGAAGAAAAACGATGTCCATACCCAATAATAATGAACTAACCTGCAGAAAATTTATGTCATTGCTGTTGATGTCTGGAGCTGGATATCTGACGTCCTTGATAAATTTGTTGTGACGCATGGCAGCAAAAAGCAACATAATTTGTAATCACTGGACCTGGTCGAAACATTTTTAAATTCATCCCGGTCTATAGGCCAAAGCTAGAAAAACCTTTAGAAAAAAACTAACGTCACAACGTAGCCAAGCTTTTCCTCTAAAAAACTTATGCACGAAAAGGATAACTCAGTCGACGTAGTTTGCATGCCATCGTTGTCACCTTTGACCTGACAGGGGGACCGTCCATTATAAAAGGGGAGGGGTGTAAGTTTTCCACACAGCAAAAGTTGCAGTATAAAACACAGCAAAAGTTGCAGTGTAAAACACCAAAAGTTGCAGTGTAAAACACCAAAAGTTGCAGTGTAAAACACAGCAAAAGTTGCAGTGTAAAACACCCAAAGTTGCAGTGTAAAACACCAAAAGTTGCAGTGTAAAACACCAAAAGTTGCGGTGTAAAACACCAAAAGTTGCGGTGTAAAACACCAAAAGTTGCGGTGTAAAATTTTGTTCTTGTCGGCCACGGTAGTTACAGGTGTCGACTATAATATAATGGTGAATGTGAAAGTGTTTTGAAATTCTTAAATCGATGGATGTTTTTGTTACATAAATCAATATTAATGCCTGTACAGTTTAATCAGATGTTGCAACGCTTATATTAATTGCAAACATATTTTCAGTATACCTAAAATATCACTATACTTGTTGTACAGGCTATGTGAAGAAAAAATAGATATAGATTTTGAAGATATATTTCAATAGTATTATAATATGATATATATATGCAGCATGCCCTTGTGGTTATCAACGACAAAATACTACGAAAACCTCCAGTGTGTTGTCTATTGTGCGTTCATATAACGTACGTTATTCCTATATATATGTATATATAGACAAATACTCTGTTACAATGCACTTCCCTTCTATAGCTCTAATGGTGAATTGGTCATGTTGTTTTTAGCTTACAATAATTAAATGTTTTCAATTGATAAGATACGCCGCTGTCTTGTTGCCGTCGAGGTACGTATATTACCTCCATGAAAATAAAAAATGCAAGAACTATCGCAGAGTGGAACTCGCTGTCACCAAGTACAGTAGGGGCATTATCATTAGATAGATTTTAAAATGTTTAGAGTTAGATGTTCAAGGGTTAGGCGTAACAAGTTGTTCGGTGTAATGTAGCCGGCTGCCGCCGCGCCGCGTGCCTGCGAAGCTGGTGTGTTACGCTGAAGGGCGGTTATACAGATACAGAAGCTGGTGTGTTACGCTGAAGGGTGGTTATACCGGCTATACAGATACAGAAGCTGGTGTGTTACGCCGAAGGGCGGTTATACCGGCTATACAGATACAGAAGCTGGTGTGTTACGCCGAAGGGCGGTTACGTATACCGCCTACACAGATACAGACTCATTTCTCAATAGCTTTTTGAAAGTACTACTTGTTGAAAATTACAATGGACGTGGCTGCTAATGACAGAAGAGAGGGTGGCATCAACATATGAATACAATGTGTACAAAAGAACACGTGGCTTTGACACGAGACGAATATTCATAAAAGCAAAAACATGTTTTTCCCTTCGCCTAGTGATACACAAAGGAACACAAGTAAATTGACACGTGTGCATGCCACTATTAGAGAGCCACGGGCTCCTGGCCTGAAGCCGAGTGCAGTCTGTCGAAGTGTAAACCAGAGCGCACCCGATAGCGATACAGCCAACGGTAAGTGGGATGTTATATCTCTTTTTTTCTATTTTGTACCCGTATCTTAATATCTTTAAAAAATGCCAAAAGGTTAACGACTGTTATATGAGAAAATATACCCATGCTTTTATCGTAACTTTAATTGTAGCAACAACGTAAAGGGATAGTCAATGCCTAGTAGTCCATAAATTCTGCGTAGTGGCTAAATGTAAAAACAATATGATGGATTGAATTTTTTTTCCTTTTTGACAATGTAGGAAAAACCCACTGCAGTAATGTGTACATATATGTACCTTTGAAATTGGAAAGCAATTAGCTGACATGTAAAGTAGCAGATACAAGCTACATATCATCAAGGGGGGATAAAAAATATTTGTATTGATCGCAAAAGACATGGCAAGATGTAACATTCACCTTTACATCATTGAACCACCACCCTGTCACCAGCGTTTATGCTGTCCATTACAAATATGAGCTCAATATAGTGCAGGGTTGTGACCCCCGATGAGAAGTTGGTATATGCGCCCATGGAGAAAATTGCTAACCATTTGTGGTAAAGTTTAGGTTCAGTAAAGTTTGAAAGGTTTTTACGTGATAAGAAAATCTCAGTTGTGGACGGATAAGGGCATATGAGACTTTATCATGTACGTTGTATGTCTCAGTTATTATTATTTGTGCACTCTACCATTAGGCCACAGCAATAATTTACATTTTGTGGACGACTCCCAAATGCGATAGGGCGAAGAAAAAACAAGATTCCCACATTTTCAACTTTTGAGGTCATGACCTAAATATATAATCTAATTACACCTTGTTTTTGTATAAACCGTACAAAGATAAATATTTCCAATTAATCTTTCCTGTCATGACCATTGGAATTTTGCTGTGCAATTAGCTAATAACTTAAAACGAAAACATTTTATCAACAAGTTGAATCATTACAATTGTAGAACGGTATAACAATGAACACAATCAATCCAGCACAAGTTACCCTTGAAGTAAAGTGCAACATTCCTAATTGTGTTCAACACAGCACTGCAAGGTCTTTCAATCGACCTCTACTACCGGCTAAGAAAGCTATTCTTACCGGTATACCCTAATGATAAGCTACGTTCAATATGTGCAACCGGAACTTAGTAGAAGGTTCCTGGCCTAAATAAAAAAAAAACAGTTGCCGTGTAAAGAAGAAACAGAAAGGACAGGGAGATCTAAAAGACAGAACAGGAAGTACATTTTCAAGTTTTATTAACTCATCCGAATGTATGAAGTCCGTTGCTATGTCAGTAAAACTGAGCCACCGCCATACATTCATAATACTAATTCTTGATTGGCGTTCAGTTAACGTAAATTTCATCGTAAGAACTTCAACCTAAGAATATTACTATACCAACCCCAGGTATATGCTTTTAGCTAACTTATACATTACATAAATGTATTACTACTAAAAACTAGTCTTATCATCCCATCCTTTTGGGTGAAGATAGCAAAGTAAAGTTAACATTGATATAAAAGTATCGTCAGTTCTAACGGTTTTGTTTCATACATTAGTTTCTAAGCAATAGAATTTCTCTGTAATAAAATAAGACAACAACAAACATAGTTAGATCTACCATATTTTAACAATTCCATATGGTTTTTGAATGTCATGTTATGTTACGCAGTAATATTTTATTTTCTTGCCTTAAGCATTTAAGAACATGTCACAAGTGTGGCATACGGTGTACATGACACGTATCAAAATAATCCTGTCGGCATCCCGTAGTGCTGTACTTTGTTATCACACTTCTACAGGGGGCGGCTTTATAATTTACTGGTCTAATCGTGTGACAAGGTTCTTTAGTTTATGTTGTTCAAATGTCATGTTATGTGTGGGGAACGTAGTAGCTAGAATTTGAAAGTCAATTTTTTTAACCTTAGAATTTATAAACGCCTACATCACTTTGACTGACTACATTGATAACCAGTTCTCTTTCATTTTCATTTCATTTATTATGAAACCTTTCAGCCCTGCTGGGCTCAAAGGCTTCCAAGGCTCAAACATGCTTTTAAAATGACATAATTACATGGTACAGAAAAAGTACAGTGACTACATTTGAATAGACATACTTACATCACAAAATCAACAATAAACACACAAAGCAACATTAACAACTTAAAAAGTAGAGGTCGGAGATCTAGGTAACACTGTTTAGGTAATAGCTTTCTCTGTATGTCCTCTCTGTGTGTTTCTCTCTCCCTCTTCCTCTCCCTGTCTTTTTCTATATGAAAGGTTTCTTCTGCCATGGGGATATCAGATAAGAATTGCTGTCAGCTTATGACGCACTTGAGACATTAAACTTGTGGAACTGGAGTGGTTTTAATGGTATAAAATCCCGTCGGTTTATGTCAAAACGCCAACCTTGCAATAAGAGCACCTCTGAGACTGTATAACCACTTCTCATCATGCAACATCATGACAGTAAACTATACTTGTGGCGCCAATGTAATACGCTATGATGGCTATGTCGAATTCTAAGAGACATGCTGGGTATATAGACCTTCGTTTCTTGTCAAGCGGAAAAGAAATAAGAAGACAGAGCCGACATTGTACTGCTTTCTTCGCACCGTGTTCTTACCTTATATGGAATGTTTGGAGGTTAGATGTTGAAAGGGTAATGGTAAAGGTAGCCCTGTCACCTATTTTAAGGCCGTGGCCGTGAGGGCAGTGGGTTGTTAATCCACTGTGTCTAGGGTACAGTATTGGAAGGTGGAGCCCATCCCTCTCCTTCCACTGCCTTTTACCTCCCCAACCGAAGTAATTTTACACCTAGGTCGAGTGAAGTGCCTTTCCCAAGGGTAAAAGATCGATAGCATCGGGCAAGATTCGAACCCGGAACCTTTTGGGTCTGAGCCGAACACTCTACCGTTGCGCCACACGATCCCGATGTTAAGAACCCCCAATACGCTAATATTATGAGAAAATAGGGCAATTATGTTATTGCACGAGTTTTGCCACAAGTGGCCATTCAAAATCCATCAATATGCAAAAAACACATGATTGCCTTACCAATAGGCAGTATTGTTTATGCGCTTGACAACTCCAGAGACAGAAAGTCTTTGTAATGTGTAACTGTCATTTATAAAAGTTAATGGTGTCAATTGATAGGAACTGGGTCTTTCATCATTTTCGTAGGATGCTTTTTGAGTTTCAACTGACTGTTCAACTGTCATTCTTGAGTTTGGAAGCAAAATGCTTTTCCCAGCAAAAGTGTATCTAATAGTCATAATCTTTTTAACTAGTTTGTAATCTGATCCTTCAAAACTCTATATGGTCTGTCCAGCAAAGCGTTCAAAGCTAACAAATTGTTTCTATTTCTTATTTCTAATGCCACTGATAGCCTAAACCTATAGCAACAACAGCGTTCTTACTTTCATTTTACAATATTCTTTGCAAAGTAATCATTCATCATCAAACTGATGCCAGTAAAGGGGTTTAGTAATTTAAAAACCGTTTGACAGTGACAGCTTCTAAAAACATCACAGCATCAAAATGCTGCACTAACGATTTTGACTGATGGGTTTCTCACCCGAAATGCCGTAAAAGCCATCTCATGCATTTGAGATGAGTTCCATCAATTCGTGCCGATTTTATATTACGATAGCCTGTCGTCATTCAGACACCTTCGCACCATTTCTTCAGGAGAATTTTTTTTTATCTTCACCCTGTCTGACAATGTAGTCGATAAGGGTTAGTACGTGACAGGTGTTCTCATCTTTTAAGGGACCACGACGATCTGAACAGACACCACTCCAAACGACTTAACGACCATGAAAATTGGATCCTGGATTCAATATTTTGCAGTATTAATACCTGGCCTTGTCCCGTATTCAGGTTAGGCTTTTAGAATATAACAAAATCGCACTTTGTTGTTGGGGTTCCCTGTCGATGCGACACTTTTTTATTTATATATATTGATATAAATAAAAAAATTGCTACAAATCTAATTTTTGCAAAGGGGACCATGAAATTTTAGTAAATTGAATTGAAGGTGCCACAGAAAACCCTGTCTAAAATTCGTAACTGACTTTGAAAACCTAGTAGTTTGATATTTAAGGGAACCTTTATTATCTAAAATTACGATCAACGAAAATATCAGTACAAATTGTCCCGATTATCAGAACTTATTACAAGCAATTAAACTCCTGAGATATTAATTGATATCATCTCACCGTAACTTCAGTTATCTGGAACGGAAAATGAAACGTTTGCATTTTGCAGAAGACTTGCACATAGCCGGGAGTGGTTTATACATGCAAACTTACAGGATAGCATGCGGTATGAAAAATGCATGAGAAAGTTCCTTCTGTCTTTCGCATACAGTACAACGCGTGTTGTGATGAGACCATTGTTCCGTGCGTATAGGCTGCTTCAGCATAGTTGTAAATTTAATTTCGTTTCGATTTTTTAAAAGACCGAGTAAATGCAAATCATAAAAGCATAATCGCGATATTACGATAATCACTGTACAATACATAACCTATATAGTCGGTTCAACTATTTGTAATAGTTAATATCGGAATGGAGGCGGATGAAAATAACGATAGATGTTTTCAATCGCAAAGCGTGAGTAAATACAAATCATTGAAACATTATCAGGATACTATTGTACAATATATAAGCTTTAGAGTCGGTTCAACTATTCGAAATAGTTAATATCGGAATTAAGATTAATTAAAGTAAGTAAAGATATTTGTTTCTAATTACAAAGCGTCTTCTACAGTTTTTGGTGGAGTAAGATAAAATCCACAGGATGTACATTCATGCAGAAACAGGTCACGGGACTATACTAGGTCAGCGTAGATGCCTCGCATTTCTGGCAGTCAAGAGGCTTTAGTGCACTCTCATTTGCCTTGCACCAGAGGCTTCAGGTAGGAACAACGTCTATCACTTAGCGACGTCGAATTCTGTTTGGCATCCTTAAACCGTTCTTATGTTTCTGTACCGAAGCCGGTGAAATACGATTAATGTCTTCCGGTATTTGTGTGCATGTACTTTGCATTGCAACAAAATGTTTTTTGTTGTTCTTCTAGAGTAGATCATCCTAAAATGCCGCTGTATATATATATGTACGTACTTTGATACATGGTTTGTATCAATGTTGACTCTTTTAAAATATGTTTTTCACGGTAACTCATATACTAGCCATATGGTGTTTCTATTGCGTTTTACTGTCTTTTACTCTATAATTTGCTAATGTAGACACTGTCTAACTTCCTGGTACGTTTTTTAGAGACGTTATGCTCTTCACCTCAAAGTGAAGTTGATAAATCTTTTACAACAACGCCATAAGGCATTTTGCTCAGATTTCCCATAAGATACGCCCGGAAATAGAACTTTATTGCTTCTTGAAGGTACCGTTCCGCCTTTGTAGCTCATCAGATGTCAGTGATTGATGTTGTAAATATATTTGTGTTTAAGACTCTGGCACTTTGCGTTTTTGTATGTTATTTCCCTTGTTATTTAGATTTAAAGCCACTGGGTGTATTTCTTGAGTGCAATAACTCCAACCTTACCGATAACATCGAGACTTCGGATTTCAGTAGGTTTTTATCTTAGGAGTGTTGAGCTTGTGCAAAACTGTTTTATAGATAAAAGGGAAAGGAAGCGACCAGTAATTTAAGAAAAATGACAGATGCAGCACTGTTTAATGAATGTTATTGTCTTTCCAGGTGGCAGGCAGATTTATCGATCGCCACACCCATGTCATGCACCTGAAGGAAGCAGAGAACAGTAAATACATCACAAATGATACCGGGGCTTATCTACACATCACGTTCTGATAAATTAGTAAGGCTTCCTGTATTGACCATCGCACTGTTTTTGCTGGCGTAAGCCAGCTTTGCCCGTCACGGTTACATTTCCCGAAATTGTTTGACAGACTGGAGAGAAAATCGTTTACGAGTCGTGAGCAGCAGGGCGGAATTCCCGAACCTCCACAACAGAACTGTTTTTTTTTAATCTTCAGAATGGCGTTGAGACTTAAAGGCTTAGATTTTGCTAGGGAAAATATAAGTGGACATTTGTCCTACAATGGCAGTTATGAATTACAGGATCTTCTACCTGATAATGACTACCTAAAGCAAACAGTACCGGTGGTGGTGCTTTTTGTATTGTTCTATGTCTTCAACTTCTGCCTTTGCATCGTTGGGAACATCATGGTGTGCTTTGTGATCTTGAAGATGCCGCGTATGCAGACTGTCACAAACTTCTTCCTCCTAAACCTGGCTGTGAGTGATCTTCTTGTTGCAGTCTTCTGTATGCCGTTCACACTGGTGGACAACATCATAAGAGGTAGGTCGAATCATAATTGTTTGTACTCGTATTGCCTAGTATATAAAAAGACATAAGAACACTGCTGCTACCTCAAAGAAAAATCTTTAATGTTTCCCGACAAAACTGAATCTAAGTTTGAATGTACATACATATCATGGGCATTAAGATAACAGTCTATAATATGTAGTTTTGGAATACATATGCTAATCTACGCCATTATTTGATTTTTATATTATGATGTTGTAGTTTCAATACTTGATTGGTAGAAGGCACTATCTGTACACATATAGAGCTGTAAATTTTTCATAGTAGATGTTCGATATTCTGAAAGAAACAGTACTACATTGTACGGGATTTGTTTGGTTCGATCTATCTATTAAAGTTGGTCAAAAGTCATGATGATGCATGTCTGCATGGTGAGACCATATGGCGTTTTAATTTTGCAGATGCCCATGCGTGTGTTTTTATTAAATGCAGCACATCAAATTGTAATCTTATTTTTCTTTATTTTATAGCTATCTGGTGACTTAAATAATGCAAAAAAAAACACTTTTAATAAAATAAAACCAGAGATTTACTACGTATGACTTAAAGTAAAGAATAAAGCTCACAGAGTAAAAAGTGATGTTTTCTAACATTATTTAAAGACCAGTTTCAAACGATTTTTGTTTGACTACAAGTAATATTGCAATTTATGCATTATTTATGAAAACCTGTATCTTGTAACGGAAGTCCATTAAGGAAGTCCTTAACAAACAAGACGTGTTTTCTTCGATTTGTTGATAATGACCGAATCGATTCCTTTGAACAAAGCGCAGCCTTAAAGGTCACATTACTGAATAATGACTAATGCGATGTTAGACGCTGCATCTACATACCGGATCTATTAGCAAAGAAAAAAATCCCCACCAATTGAAAAAGAATGCAAACATTTTATGTAAAATATGAGCTTGGAGTTTTTGTTAAAATAAATGTTATTGTGAATTGTGTTTGTATGTAGCACCAAATAAACATTGGTGTCTAATATAATATATTCATTATGGGTTCACCACACCACGAAGTGGTGTGGTGAAACCATATTGTCTTTGCTGATGATTCTTCTTCTCCTCCTTCTCCTCCTGCCATATCTTTAAATGGATTCAGCTTCTTCATTTTAGGGCCTAAGGTCCTGAAATTTGGTATGGAGGTACAGTGGGCAAATACCCCTAGGCGTTTTTTAAATTTTTGTGATACAGGCTTTTAGAATGGTTTATTTGAGGTTTTTTTGGCTGTGTTATAGCAAATGTATTACTGTGTTAGTGTGCCGTGTTTACCACGTTTGGGCATGAGTCATCACAATGGAATGCAAGGCATCAACCAATAGGCATGCACCTTTTCTCTATTCTTCTTGCTGATTGGCTGTTGGGATTTAACTTGATTAACACCTGCACAGAGCATTTTCACCTGCACAGAGCATTTCTTGCTGATTGGCTGTTGGGATTTAACTTGATTAACACCTGCACAGAGCATTTCCATACTGACAGTATGTCTGTATTCAAGTGTTTTGGTAGGTATTTCAAGCTTTCCTGCTCCAGCATTGGAATGCGGGGCATGAACGTTTTTTTTTTTAATTTTGAAAATCAACAGTTTGCATTATGCAATTAAAAATCCTAACCAATAAAGTAGGGAATAGCTATCCAACTGTTGTTTTAGTTGTATGTTACTTCATACTATAGTTATATCAATGTAAATCATTGTTTTCCCTTGTGTTTCTTATTCTTTCCCTGCCATGTCGTAAAATGTGGTGAACCCATCGCTGTATTTGCTCCAAAGCAAATATTGGCCTTTCTAGTTAGTTATTAAACCTTCTAAATTCGAATTGAATGGCAAATAGGTGAATAGCATATTTAGTCTAATTGCTTTGTATTTTGTAAATGTCACCCAGGTTGGCCATTTGGAGATGTCATGTGTAAGCTGACGCCTGCCGTCCAGGTGGTCTCCGTTGCTGCTTCAGTCTTCACATTAGTAGCGATTGCAGTTGACAGGTAAGGTGCCAATAACCCATAACCTTTCTGTGAAATATCATAAAAAGACATGCAATTGACGTTCAAAGACTTAACCTTGAGCTGCTTTGAGGAGAATTCACAAGACCTGGCTATATCACAAACATACGTAGGGCACCCTGCTGTAAATCGATACGGACTAGGAAAATTGGGTACAGGAGAGTATTGGGTGTTGGCCTTGAACGGAAATTATTCCGTTTCTACGCACAGCTTCGGCAAATCATGTTACCGCTTGACTTGTTAAATGGGTTAATAGGCAGGAGGATATAGAATCAGCGATATTTGAAAATCAAGATAGATTTCTTTAAACCGTATTCAAGGTCATCACGATTCAAGGTTAGAAGGCATATTTAGAAAAAAACTGATTGCCGTTTTCGCAATGTACGCCCCTGTCACCTTTTAACAATGAAATCTGTGTTGACAGGATTTGGAAATCTTCCATATGTACTCCTTGAAATCATGCGGATTTTTCTTTAGGTCTACTTTCCAATGTTAGTAATTCTACCGCTGAATGCACATATTTTTTTCTTTTAAATAATTCACAGATTTTATTCGGTCGTTCATCCAACTGAGCCCAAATTCACCATTCGTGGGGTGCAGAAGATCGTCATAGTGGTCTGGTCTTTAGCCCTCTTCATCATGGTGCCTCAGGTCCTGCTGATTGAAGATACGACGATTACCCTTCAGGTCTTCAAAGAGACACTCTCGTTGCATATTTGTGCAGAGACCTCTCAGCTATGGAGAAAAGTGTATACGGTTCTGCTTTTCACTACGTGCTATGTAATCCCTTTGGTCGTTATCGTACTTTTGTACATAAGGATTGGATTGAAAGTATGGGAGAAACCAATTCCTGGAGGTCAACAAGCTCCAACACAGGTCAAGCAGGCTTCCTGGAAAAGAAAAGTCAAGGTGGTGAAGATGTTACTAGCTGTGGTTGTGTTATTTGCATTTTCGTGGTTGCCATTGCACACGATGTCTTTGCTTTCAGATCACGGATTTCTCTCACCTTATCAAGAAGACATAGTCAATGTTTATATATATCCCATAGCTCATTGGTTATCATACTTCAACAGCTCTGTGAACCCTATCATATATGGGTATTACAACGAAAACTTCCGTAATGCATACAAATCTATGATGTGCGATTCAAAGAACGGTTTTGTCCCAACTCCTTACACCAAGACAACTTCACGGTCACCGGCGTTATCCAATAGGACAAATATTTCTCCACAAACCAGAAGAAGTGTTAATGTAGAAGAAGTCCAACTCGAAGTAGTTGTGACACATTTGGTTGTTGATAATCACCTAGCACCACCATTATAAAAATACAAATATTATATATTATATAGTGTAAATATATTCTAGATTATTGTATGACATGACATAGTCAGTTGTGAATGTAGCTTCGTTTTCTTACTTGTATACTGGCTGTACATTAAGATCTACATGTATTAGTTGCTTTGATGTAGTGTTAAAAATATTAATATTAAGTATTTTATTGATTATTGATATCTAGTGCTTCAAATCAAAATGAAATTGTTGAATGTGCATTGAGAACTGTAACCCTAAATAAACTCTTATCACCAATGTTTTATTAATAATTGAAATATAAAAACATAACATGTTGTATCTTCCTTGTAATTGCCACTTGTCTTTTAGCTCTTCGAATAGTTGACAAGGCAGAATGTAGTTTAATCTTGATGGTACTGATGTCAGCTCCGGAAAAAGCCCAAAAGTAAAACCTAGAGATGCAAAAGAAGGAAGCTTGTAGGAGATTATAAAAATGCACTTTTGGAAGGCCATACAAACTCAATTTATCAGGCATAATGATTAATACCGACTTTAGGTGACTATATTGCATGTTTAGTTTCAATATTTACACGTAAACCTTTTTTGTGTCATGTAGTCTTTAAATAATGACTATAATCATTTGCAGAACTCATCATTTATCCCTGTTTTTTTATAACTAACTGGTTCATACTCACTATTTAAAAGACAGCGTTACACAGGGATTAGCTCTAAGCTATTTTACGTACTGTGTCATTGAAATGGAGGCATGACGGCCTCTAGCGAGATGCTTAATGAGCTGTTCACAGGAATGAAACAAATGAGCAGTTACCACAGCGGAAAGTAATGCAAATAACTTGACGTATGGATATTATTTACTATTCATGTTATCTCGTGTTTATTATGTTCATTTTCTATCCACCAAAACGTATTTATTATTCAATGGTTGAAGCCATAATTGAAAAATCTACGGGGAATTACTAGATGCTGCCTTTTACATTTAAAGCTCTATAAAAATTAATGATCCATATAAAAGTAGATCATGTACACTACAGTTCGTAAGTAATAGACCTTGGGAATGGAACAGCTTGAAACCTCAATAATGATCACACATTAAATTGCATTTGGGTCGTACTGAAACTTACAACTAACTGAGCTAAATTGGTACTGTAATTATAGATTAATAACAATAAGCAAACAAGAACTCAATATAAGTAAATAAGCTTGGTTTATTGACATGTTTGGCGTGTACAACAGAACATTTGTGCAATTATCTATATTTCTGTTCTCTTAACAACGTGTTCTGTGTGTTTATGCTTGCAATGTATACGTGGCTGTATGTAGGTGTGATTGTTTTGTTTGTGTGTGTGATTATATTAAGGTGTTTGTATGTGTGCAATGTTTTAATTATCTGTGTAGCTGTGTGTGTGTGTGTGTTTGTGTAAAAGTTCGTAAATCTCATAGTATATAGAAATTTCCAAAATCTTGACTATATAGTTAGTGTAATACAATAGAATCTCTAGGCATAAAAGCCATCACTGTCTTGCTCTTGATATAGTTTCTTGTAGTAGTTTCTAAAGTACATATCAAAGTTGAATATTATTCTTTAGTCTTGAGTATTACACATATCTATAGATTCGTACAGCAATACATCAAATGTATTCAATAAAGCCCTCATGGCGATCCACGCCTAGTGTTTCCATACAAATGAAGTTATAGTTCTGTGGACTTACTATCTTCCAAATAGATTAAAAAGTGAAGTAGTATAAATTTCTCTAGATGTCCATTAATACAATGATGATGTCTCACCACAAGTGATTTTTGAATAAACAGTAAACCTTTTGATGTTTACTTGCTTCCAATATATAGTAATTATCTGTAAACATCCCAAAAGAGCTGCCAAGTTCATGCATATTCCTTTTATAACATTTCTGATGCTTACTTCGACACTCACACTGTGTCTTAGGCCAATAATACAAGAAAATACCAACATCCTGTTAACTACCAATTATGATTAATCACAATGCTTCTATCTTTTTCGTACTTTCCTTGGCCTTTGAAATATGATTCCAAGTCTCTATATTATATCATAACTTCAACAACGAATAAATTTTCAAGATAAATCAACTTGCTTCGTTTTCTTATTCCATCAAAATAGACCTTTTGGACTCCAGCCCAAGCTACATCTATATACAAATAACCAGATACAATTTAACAAGATTTCGTTACAATGATAGTGAACGATTCACGTTCATATTGTAGCACCATTGCCATTTCTATTAAACGTATAATCTTTTCATTTTAAATCAGTCAAATAATGGCTACTCTGGTTGTTAACAAATAAATCATTTATACATCGATTCAGAATGCCGTTGTCAAAAAGATTTCCAAGACACTTCTAGTTTGTCAGCTGGCTTAAAATAGTAAAATAGTATTGTTGATTGGCTCATTTACAGCTCACTTTTAAAAAGCCCAAACACCCTGCATACCATAAACAAATCTTGAAACGGCACCGGAGAAATTGCCGTCAGCTTTTGCGAGATTTCTTCCATCTCATTTCCACACTCTTGTGAACTACAGTCAGTTTCCACACTTTTACTTCTGATTCAATGTATACACACTAATCCCATGCTCTAAGTACTGCTCAATACTAAACGTATTCCAATAACCTAATAGCCCTCACATATATGCAAACAATCGTCATCGCAGTGACTATCGGTATCGCTAAAATGTAGTCAATCGACGCTTCTAGATACCTCAATGCTAGTTTTATGGAACGTATTGGCATCATAGCCTCCTTCTAAGATTTTCTTGGTGCGGCAGCGTTTAATTATGTTTTTATGTGGAGGGGCTGGTCAATGCGCGATTTTTTACACGGGCTAAGGTTCTCTTAGGACGCACGTACGCCTATCTTCACCAGCCAAACTACACCTACGTTTCGGTATAAGCACGGGTGTTAAAGATGAAGAGCCGTTTTGGATCAAAGCCAACGACTTCCAAGAATTAAAGGTTGCTCCACATGCATGGGGGTGGTGGTAGCTATCTTATGTGATAGCCTGGTGCGGGTACAGTGGAACCTAATAACATGTATCTGCAACAATTAAAAAGGCTTTGGGAAACTTTCCTCATCGGTGTCTCTAGGACCTGTAGCCCTTCACAAATGTAAGGCATGTATTTGATATTACTAAGCTTCAGTATCGCTCGAGTGATGAACCGAGACCGTCACTTGTTGGGTACTCCCGGCGCTAGAGACCCGTGGGGAGTGTTGTGGAATCGGGCGTGGCGGTGGGGCCAGCCGGTCCCCGATCACAGTGAACGTCTTCAATTCTACCTGCTCTTCTCCCCCATGACTACGACAAGAACGAGGCGATCGCGTACCCAAATCATGCACTCGTATCGACACGTCTGAATTACACATGGACTTATAGGCCGTGCGGAAATTCTCATTATAATATCCGTAAATGATCGGGTTTAACGAACTACTGAGATACGACATCCAGTGCGCGACAGGGTAGATGTAAACATCCACCATATCACGTTGCTGCTTGTCCAGATTGCCAAAATCATACAGCATGAATATCGTGTGGAGGGGGAGCCACAGGAATGCAAACATCACTACAACAATCAAAAGCATTTTGATAACTTTTAACTTCTTCTTCAGAGACACTTGCTTGACTTCATTCGGAGCCGTGTCTCCGCCTGGAGTAGGCTTGGACCAAACGGCATAGCCAATACGAGCATAGAGGAAAACAACAACTCCCAAAGGTCCAACATAACAGAACAGAAACAAGCAGACCGTGTAAGCTTGGCGCCAATCGGGTGCGTTCTCTTTGCAGGTGTGAAGGAAGAGTTCACCTTCGAATGATTCGTGCTTGTCTTCCATGAGCAATGTTTGCGGTACGCTGAAGACCAGCGCGAAGACCCAGACGGCAACCAGGATCTTTAGCATGCTCTTTCCAGTCAGCTTGGGTTCGGTGGGGTACACCACGGAGTAGAATCTGTTATAAAGAAGTAAAACTTTATTGCACGACAAGTGTACAAGGTACAACGTATGGCAACGGCTACTGAACAAAGTACAAAATGAAAAGGGTAGAGAATGAAAATCAACACATCCTAAGTACTAAACATCTAGAGATGGCATTGTATACAATCAAGTAGGGCTAATTAGTTTCGGCATTTTTTCTAATAACAAAACAGTATTTTATGCATTTACCTTTCATTGTAAGGGTTGCTACATTTAAATATATATATGAATCTGTCCACAGCATCCAGTCTGTTGAAATCTTGTGTTAGATTCGATAAATCTGCGTAGCTTATTACGTAAAACATCATATCTAGAGCATTTCATGATGAAGTGAAATTCGTCTACAATTTGCTTTGGACAAAATGGACAGGAAATGCATATGGTCATTCTACGCACAGAATATATGTATGTGGCAAATTGCGTACATAATATATCAGCGGTAACAACATGTAAGGGATTAAACTTTTTTGTATGCATCGGCTTACCTGTCAATGGCAACCGCAACTAGCGTGAAGATGGAGGCGGCGACGGAGACCACCTGCACGGCCGGTGTTAGCCTGCACATCACGTCCCCAAACTGCCAACCTGCACAGGGAACACCGGCTCATGTCAATCACAGTCTCTAGGTACAACCTTCTGTCCTTGTAAAACATCAAAGGAACCTTTCGAATTAGTCAATGGGGAATTGATCATCATTCCTTGACGGCAGCCTTTAAAAATGACACCAATTTCCATGTAAGGTTATCGCCTTAGCATATTGTTTTCACGGTAGCTGTTACCCTTTTCTCACCTTTTCTAAAGGAACGTGAGTGGAAATTTTATGTTCTTTGGTGTTGACCAGGAATATAAATTTATAAGCTACGTACAATTCCTTCCAAGGGACTTACAGGCGGTCTTGCATCGTTTACAAAATTGATGTGAACGATCAAGACACACAAATATATGTTCAATATAAACATGTAAAATATAAACAAACGTCCTCCTCAATTTGTATCACTGCAGTGCATACAAATATATAACATTTGATATATTTAGGTTATAATACTTCTGGTACCGATAAATATATAAGATGCATAAGTACGGTTGTAGCAGCTATGAAAGAGTTAAAGAGTTTGATGCTCATGGACGGTAATAAACAAAGAGTATACCATGTACCTACATAATTATACAATCTAATAACGTCTATATTACTAAAAAATGAAGATGATGCATACGAAGATATAAAATTCAATACATTTTTGTTGAAATGCTACTGGTACTAAAATATATAAAATGCCTAAGTACGGTTGTAGCAGCTATAAAATGCACATGTACAGAAATGGACAAAGACTTCATCACATGCATACATATAGTAACGTCTACATTACAGAAATAATGAAAGGTCTTACCGAGAAGGATGTTATCCACCAGGGTGAAGGGTATACAGAAGAAGGCGACTAGTAAGTCGCTGACGGCCAGATTCATCAGGAAGTAGTTGGTTACAGTTCGCATACGGGGGATCCTCAGGATCGCGAAGCATACCATCATGTTCCCGATCAAACACAGCAGGAAGATCAAAAGATACGACAAAATAAAGACAACTAAAACCGGCGTCGATTGCTTGAGCCATAAGTCAGCGTAGAGATTCTGCAATGCGACGTTTTGTCTAGTACGGTTGGTGAGGGGCCCTCCTGTATTGTTCAGGGCCTCAATATACACCTTCATCGGAGAAAGGGAAGTCATGCTATATCATCTGCTATCAGTTCTGCGGTTACTGATGCGATTTAGCATTCAAAACGCAAAGGAAAAAAACAGGTAACCAGCCGAAGCAAAATGAAAATAATTCGCGTAGGTGAGAAACGTTCACCATATGTTTGAGACATGGAGGTGAAGCAAATGAAATTCAATCACATCTATGGGTACAAACGCGTGAGCTACTAGCCATGCAAGCTTAGAGTCCGCTGCTGGGTATGAAAACCCCCCCAAACTGGCTAGCTTGTTCGATATCAGTGCCCAGATGCCGTATGGTGCTCCAATCTAAGACGGGCGCCTTATTTGTACATTTTTTTCGCCTACGCAAACATATCGACCATGGCGGTGAACTTCCTTCCAGGCGTCTTTTACATCTTTTAAATGAAGAACGCAAGATAGCATTAAGTACGTCACAGCCCTATGATGGGTTCTCTGAAATATGTGATAGCCGACTTAACTGGAAAAGAATTTGGTAAATGTACAAAATAGTATATATCATTTTTACACGGTGGACCGAGAGAGGTAAAATATACAAATTTAGGAAATGAATGTGTTCGTTTAGCCTTACCTTAGTTGGGTACACTATAGGTGCCCAACCCTGTCCTTGAGACAATTTGCATTTAATGTTTTGACGTCAATGCGTCAAAGGAAATATTAAACGAAACATATTACCTTACCGGGCGTAGTCTATCTCCTTTGACGTAGTTAGTGCCCTTTGGGCAGCTTGCTAGAACCATGAGCTAGCCAGACCAATCATTTGGTAGTATATAGTGAATGATATGGCATTTTCAGAGCTCCAACAACTCCCTTGAATTCAAAACCAATAAAGAGTGCCATCAACGTTGTATTTTATATATCCCCACCCCTACATCGTTAAAAAGAAACAGACCAGCATTAGTGCTGGCATCAAAATGTGCCTTGCGAAAAAAAATAGTAAAATATTACATAGTAAAATGTTTTTTTTATTTATTTTATTTTTTTACTCATATTTTTATATTGTACATCATTAACCAAAGGTCACCCAAATCCAAGGTCGATCTACAATCACTCTGTGATCTCCCTCAGGTTAAAATGCTAATTTACACACAGATAAACGCCTATGAGAATTGGCTCGGTAAACCCCATTACCAATAACATCAATGGCGACCATATGCCTATGTCGAAACGACACAACGTTTGATTAGTTCTTACTTCAGGCCGTCCATTTTAGAATCTAATTACCACAAGCTGACGAGTATTACTGATTGAATGATCGGCAGCGTGCCCAATAGACATAATTAAGCTTAATTGCAACATCACTGAATGTTGGGCAATAATTGTAATTGCGCACTTCTATACTGCTAAATTACGAAAAAATCATGCAATTACAAATAGACCTTGTAATGTGAAACTGTTTGGAAATTACGATAAGTACTAATAACTCAAGATCTTATAATAATTACGAGACACGAGTGTTTAGCGAAGTATGAAATATATCATGGCGTCTATGCATTGGTTAATTCCACGGTGTCGTTTATTTTCTATAACCGTTGCAAGCGGCCAGAACTGGTGTTTAGTTCAAATACCCCTTAAAAGCTTCAACCATATTTCCACCACCTAAGACCGATAACATTCTATTATGGCAGCACCATTACGACAAGGAAGACACTCTCGTTATTCGAAATACTTGCCCAACGTTTCCAAACATTTTGGCCTGGGTGTGGGCTTGCCTATTAAGTAAGATCGGAGGGAGCTATTATTCTCAGCATCACGATGTAATATAAGCTAGAGACTAGGCAGAGTTGAACAGGGGCTAGGGAATCTTCTGAAAACTAGAAGACTGGTAGATATTTTCTTGCCTGACATGTACCGAGGCCAACCTGGAAAAGCTGTCAGATGTAGGATCACTGCGACTGAAAGCAATAACGCCAGCTATCTGTCATTTTTGTTTGAGTTGCAATTGATAAACCCACCTTGCAGAATTTTTATTGAATGCGCTCTCTTACGGGGAGGCATTTGTTGTATCAGTTAGAACGTATGATGTGGGTGGCAATGGAAGTGAAGATTGAAGATCAAAACGAAAACACCAAAACGAAAAAAGCTCATTTGTCATTTTTAATGTCTAGAAGATTGATGTAGATCGGAGGCGGTACGTGGGTAACCTGGATGAGAAAGAAGACTTGCAACTTTTTATGGATGGGATCCTTGACGTGGAGGCATTTATTGTATCAGTAAGAACGATTGATGTAGCAACAGGAACACGAATCCTTCTCTCCGCGGCAAAAACTCCCTCGGCAGCAAATCGTTCCTCGCGGCGGCATATTACTCGCGTCGCTCACAGAAAAAAAATGACGCCGACGCCCAACAAGACTGCGAAGGAGGCTAGATTGATGTGGGTGGCAATGGAAGTATAGATTACAGATCAAAGCAAAAACACGAAGACGAAGACAGCTGTCATTTTGTAATGTCTCAGAGATTGATGTAGATCGGAGGCGGTACGTGGGTACCCTGGATGAGATATCAGATAAGGATATAAACTCGTAAGGTGTGGGCCAGCCTTGAGCAAGATTACAGAATTGCTTCTGACACCGCGGAGGCGAAAGCGGAGGCGAATAAATGACGTGCCTAAAATCGCCTGGAAGACCTGACTTTCACAAGATTTACAAAATTACAGGCATCCAGTGCAAGTTTTAGGGCTTGGGAAACAGATTTAAAAAAAATAATATTGTAGTGACTTATACAACATATGATTTGTAAGTTGAACAGCACTATGCCAATGTATATAAACAAACAAAAAGCAAAACGTCCCAAAATTGTGACGAAAAATTGTTACTGGAAAGATCCAGAGATGATTTTTAGGGTACGACCCAGAAAATGACCCTCATCTTGGGACTTGTTTCTGCAGTTTTAAATGCCCAAAATAGATGTATGAATACTGATTCAAAAGTGCATATTTGAGGCAGCATGTGTGAATATCATAGGGGTTGCTTTGTTCAGAGTATCTTCAGTTTTTACCGCCCTGAAATTGCATTTGATGCCTTTAAACTAGTGCAAATTCCAATAACATGGATGAAGTTGATACCAGAATACTAATAAAATACTAAAAACGTTCGAACCGGCTTGCTCAGTGTGATTGGTCATCAGGAATGTCTCGATGATATTTTGATACCCACGATCATGATAATTATCAGTCTGGCATACTCATTTTCACCTAAGAGAAGTAAAAAAAAGTCGAGTAAAGTGCCTTTTCCAAGGACACAAGGTTGGTGACTTGGCAGGATTCGAACCCGGGACCTCTTGGTTCTGAGCCGAATGCTCTGCCGTTAAGCCATGCAACCTCATATATACATTAATCATATATACATCCTGTTTGGTTAGATTTAGAACACTTTGCCAAGAGGAAGAATTAGAAAAGAAAGGCCGGTGCATTCTCAGTCGCCAATGGAGTGCGCTAAATGACTTTTCAAACATCTGGCTACTTAGGGAATTTATCCAGATACTTACTACATTTTGAATTCAATGGCATCTTGCCCAGTACTTTGGATAAAGCAAAGGAAAGTAAAATCTATGGATCCGCAGACTAAAAATCTAATGCGATAGGACGAAAAAAGGCAGGCTAAATAAAAAGAGATTGCTGTATTTTCATATTTTGGCGTGACGGTCATAAACTTCATTAAACAAGAAAAGATACATTTATTGTGGTAAGTTTACTTACAACTATTACAGCATCCATTTGTCACTGAAAGAACTTTGAAAAACAGGTCTTCAAACATTGTACAAATGGCATGGTTTTGATTCAGTGGGAACATTACATATACACAACCAACATCAGGAACATAAACAACAACATAAAAGGAATGGAATACTTCACTGCATCTGAGTAAAAGACAACAAGTCTTGTCTTGTCTCCTCTCCGCAAATATTTAAATGCCATCCACGTTCCGACAAGGCAACAGACATCTTTGTCCATTTCGGCATGTTGACAAGAGGGCAAGAAGATTTCTTGTTTTTATTTCCAAAATCAAGCGAAAATTAATGCGCGCTGATGTCATCCATAACAATTTTTTTGGAATACCGATGGGACCCTGTAGATGTGGTAGTCCGACTGGCTCAATCCCCGGCGGTGTGCAGGCTAATGGAGGATATGACTCCATGTGGTGTTTGAAATTACCATCACATTGATTGCAGAGTGAGAACTTAAGTATACTCAACGCTATAGCGAAAGAGATAATTTCCAACAAATCGCCATCGTAAGACCTCCCCAGTAGAGCTTCAATGAGGCTTACCAGAATAGAAAAAAAAGTTTGCATTCATATAGACAGAAAAAAATAAAAAGACGAGTGCGACTAAAACGTATGGCTAGTGCCAATAACTGGAATATCTTGTTATTGTACAAGGGGGCCAAATATATATAAAGGGAAATGCATAAAGGCCACACATTCCTCTATACATCACCAAAGGTAATAATTTAAGATTCCATTTACAATCTCAATGCGGAGGCGAGGCATTACGTAAAGGTTTAAGTGAAGGAGGTTATTGCCAACAAAATCGGCGCCATAAGACCTCTCTAGTAGACCTACAATGAGGTTTACTAGAATAGAAAAAAAATTGCATCCTTATAGACAGAAAAGCATAATTTAAGTAAAAAAAATACGAAACTACGAGTGATACTAAAATGTATCACCAGGGCCAATAATTGGAATACCTTGTTTTGTACAAAAGGATCGGATATATTGTGAAATGCATTAAGGCCAATTATGGCTCTAGCTTTCCAAACGCTATCATTTAGGATTCCACTGACAATCTCAATGCGGAGGCGAGGCATTATGTAAAAGTTCAAGTGGAGGAGGTACTTGCGAACAAATTGCCACCACAGGACCGCACTTGGGCAACTCGCAAAGCTCTAACGAAGTGTGCCTACGTGCAGACTAAAAATAAAGTTTACTTGACGAATTCCGAGAAGAAGGGCATGGTCGATACTAGAACCCTTTGCCAAGACCACTAATTGGAAG